CGGGACTATATATTGTTCCGTCAACTCTTCCCTTCCCATTTTTCCCCCAATTCGAAAATTAAAAAACCCTAAAACTAAACTCCAATTAAACGCAAATCCGGCTACTCCCACCACTCAATCCGGCGACTCCCTCCACTCCCTCCGTGATTTCCGGCGACTCCCACCACTCTCCGGCGACTCCATTTCCGGCGACTCTCCTCCCTCTGGACAATCCGGCGTGTCTCCTCAAATACTCTCCACCTCCGGCGACTCCTTGCAATCCGGCGACTCCCTCCGAGACTCTCCACCTCCGGCGACTTCCTCCACTCCTCCCGACTTCCTCCATTCCTCACTGTAAGTTTGAAATTCGCGATCCTCTCTTTATTTTTTTTTTGTCAAAAATTTTTTTTTCTTTGTGAAATCCGAGTCCTTTTTTTTTTTGAATTGTGGTTGGTTTGTGTTGATATAGTGTTTGTGTTGAATTTAAATTGTGTCTATTGTGAATTGCTTATAGTTTGGTAGTCTTGTTTATTTGGCCGAATAATTTGAAGTTTGGTTGATTTGTTTTTTTGGCCGAGTGTACATCGTTTGGTTGATTTGTTATTTGGCCGAATGTATATAGTTTGGTAGTCTTGTTTATTTGGCCGAATAATTTGAAGTTTGGTTGATTTGTTTTTTTGGCCGAGTGTACATCGTTTGGTTGATTTGTTATTTGGCCGAATGTATATAGTTTGGTAGTCTTGTTTATTTGGCCGAATAATTTGAAGTTTGGTTGATTTGTTTTTGGCCGAGTGTACATCGTTTGGTTGATTTGTTATTTGGCCGAATGTATATAGTTTGGTAGTCTTGTTTATTTGGCCGAATAATTTGAAGTTTGGTTGATTTGTTTTTGGCCGAGTGTACATCGTTTGGTTGATTTGTTATTTGGCCGAATGTATATAGTTTGGTAGTCTTGTTTATTTGGCCGAATAATTTGAAGTTTGGTTGATTTGTTTTTTTGGCCGAGTGTACATCGTTTGGTTGATTTGTTATTTGGCCGAATGTATATAGTTTGGTAGTCTTGTTTATTTGGCCGAATAATTTGAAGTTTGGTTGATTTTTTTTTTGGCCGAGTGTACATCGTTTGGTAGTTTTGTTATTTGGCCAAATGTATATGGTTTGGTAGTCTTGTTTATTTGGCCGAATGTTTATGGTTTGGTTGATTTGTTTTTTTTTGGTTACCTTGTGTAGGATTGAAATGGCGACGCCGGCATCGGGCTCCCAATATGACTATCAACCTAAACATCTTCACCCGGGACCTATACAAGATAAAATGCTATATCGTCAAACAAAGCATAGGTCCCAAGCTGTCTATGAGAACAGGATACCGGACATTAAGACATTCCGCCTCAAGGGCCGTAGGTACGACAGCGATTTTTGGGCGTTATATAAAAATACGGCCCCGGAGGTTAAGGAAGTCATTAGGAGAGCCGGTTTGAGGGGATCATGAAGGTAGGGTACAAAGAGTTGATCTAGGCCTCATTACCGCGTTGGTGGAACGGTGGAGGCCAGAAACCCACACTTTCCATTTTAATTTCGGAGAGGCGACGGTGACGCTACAGGACGTCGAGGTCCTGTTTGGTATTCGGGTGGATGGTGACCCGGTGTACGGCACGACAGTTAGCCGGACTGCGAGATGAATGGAGGGATCGATGTGAGGCTTATTTGGGATTCCGGCCGGCGATTGTAAATGGCCAATGTGTCAATGTTGGTATTTTCGAAGATGAGATGGGCCGTGCACTACCTTCAAATTCCACTGTCCATCGATTCGAGCAAAGGGCCGGACACTTATACCGCATTTTATTAGCGTTTCATGTTTCGAACAAGACGCGAACACTGTCAATCTACGCTTCTTGGCCCAGTTGAGGATTTGGATCGGTGTAGTCGATACGATTGGGGATCGGCACTTTTGGTGGGTTGTACTGCCTATGCGAGGCATCACAAGATACCATGCACGACGCCACCGGGTGTCTATATTTGCTACAGTACGTATTAGTTTTCATATTGTGCTTTAATTATTTTGCGCTTTCGACGTTATAATTTGAAGTTTCTACATTATTATTGCAATTTACTAGGTATGGGCGTATGAGCGGATCGAGAGGATCGCGCCCCAAAGAAAAGGAGTAGATTATTTGCTTGATGAGACCGCTCCATTAGCTCAGCGGTACGTATTTTCAGTTCAAAATAACTCAACGTTTAATTCTATTTGTTTCTTATTCATTTATTTCACTAATTCAAATGTACCCCTTTGTTTATTAAGGTGGGAATGTAGGTACACGTACGGCGACGCCCCAAGGAGCAGCACTCCACCGTTTAGAGATCAATTAACAAGTCTGCGTGTTGAAGATGTAAGTACTTGTAATTTGGTATTTATATTTACTTTGAGATCAATTACCCCTTTCTTTTGGTTTCGGTTGTACCATCTAATGAAATTTTTTCGTGCGCTTTCGGTGGCAACCATATGCACATGTCCTCCATAGACTCCCGATTTCGTACACAAGGCCAAGCCATTTGGACGACTAGGTGTTGGATGTTCTTGGGCTATTAGGGAACCCCACGAGTCGGGCAGAGTCATAAGACAATTTGGATACATACAGGATGTTCCCAAGCGCCCCATGATTAAAGATAACGCAGCATTTCTTCTTGATCACGCCCACAGTATGTCTGGGTATCCTAGCAATAATTGGGAGGATCACCATTCCGCAGTACGCCGTCATTGGAATAGGAGAGAAGAGTTCGTGCTACGAGATTTGGAGGAAGGAGATCCTGGTTCCGTATATGAGGGTACTATGAATGGTTTATGGTGAACACCGTCGATTGATATCCAATCCCGGTAATTATGAACCTCAAGGATACGAGACTTCTTCGAGCCGCGTGAAATTATATGTGAGTTAATTGTAGATTTCTTTTATTATTTCTTATGTTTCCATTTTTTTTTCATTTTTTTAGAACTTTACTCTCTTAATTAACGTCCCAATTTCTTTTCAGGGTGAAGTATTGAACAACATTCGCGTGAGTACCGAGAGGTTTAGAGAAAAACGAGAAGATGATAATCTCCTAGACGAAGAACTTGACAAGCATTTGGACGATATCATCAATCAAACACATGCTGCTTTAACCTTGGCGCAAATGATGAGATGGAGGTGGATGATACCCAAATCCTGGTTGATGAAGATCCATTTTTTCCCTCACAACCTCCGCCGGGTAAAAACGCGAAACCGTGGTCAAGAGATAAGATTGGAGGAGGAAGAAAGAGAAAGGTCACAATCCCCCCTCGGACATCGCAACAACAAACTGAGGGTCAACAAAATGAGGATCAAGCACATTCCTCTCGAGGCTCGCGCATCCAGGTCGAGACTCATTTTGAAGAAGCTGGTGGACCCGAGACTCAGTTTGACATTGGTGGACCCGAGACTCGCTTTGACATTGGTGGACTGAGACTCGGTTTGGTGGACGATCGCAACCACAACCGAGAGTCAAATTTATCACCATGGGGGAGTCCCAATCTCAACCCCAAATCGAGGCTCAGTTTGGTGGACAGTCGCAACCACACCAAAGTTCAATACTCACATATCTTAAGAGGGGAGACATGATCCGACAGGGCCCAAACAAATACACTCCGGATGCGCATAATAAAGGAAAAGGGAAAAAATGAGACATTTCATTATTTTGGACATTTATTGTAGTTTTTGTATTGAACTTTTTATGAAACTTGATTTATTTTGTTGTTAATTGAATGCTGTTTATTGTTTTGTTGTTATTAAATTCCTATTTTCCAATGTTTCATTGTTGTTGGTCTTTAGAAACATGTTTAGGATTGGTGAAAATCAGTCCAATTTTTTTTTCGACAAAGACTCGGATTTGCGAAATCCGAACCTGGACTTTTCTAAAGGATTCGGATTTCGGACATCCGAGTCCGTGGCCAACCGGGAGTCACCATTTTTCGAAAACAGAGCGATTCGATTTCGTAATCCGAGTTACGCCCGAATTTAATTTTTCAACACGCTTTTTTATAGTATCCAAAATTAATATTTTATTCATAAAATCGGATTTATAAAATCGGATTTAGATTAATTACACTAATTTTTGTCATTAACTTAATTTCGATTTACGTAATACAAAGTCGGATTTTAATAATCCGAGTTTAGTTGGGGTCGGATTTCAAATCCGATTTTTCCCCATTCGGATTTCCTAAATCCGGCATATAAATTTGTCCACAAGGTTTTAAAAAGTTTTATTTTTGTCTAGGTTTTTTTTTTACATATATTTAAGGAAAAAATTCTGGATCTATGTTTTTAATTTTACTCTAGTGAAAGTCTTTAAATAGATAAAATTAATTACTCTTTTTGTCTTAGAAAAATTAGTTTTTTTTTTTTTTCCTTTTTTTACATACGAAAGAAACTAAAATGACTTATTACATATAACTCAAAGCAGGGGCGGAACCAAGCCCCCTATATATAATGGGGCAAAATTTTTCAAATTTTTAATCTAATATACTTGTCCCTAATATTTTCAATTCAACTGGGATAAAAATTAATTTTTTTTAAAGAAATTTCTAAAATTTCAAGGAGTTGATAAAAAAAAAAAATTCTGACTGGCGCAATTGCCCCACTTACCTTGTATGTAGTTTCGCCCCTGACCCAAAGGTCCAAAAGACCACTGCATTTCCTATCCCATCATATTAGAGTCTTGACTATCGCGTGCCGTAGATCTACAAAATACTCATGCCAAACTGAGCAAAATGTAGTTTTGCCTAAAAAAATCACTTAATTTGCTAAATAAAGATCCTTACGCGACCGATTTTCGATTGTTTCTTCTGAATTTGCCAAAAAAAAAAAAAAAAGTCAATATCAACTATTGATAGTTTTTCCTAGGCCTTTTCTAATTAGGAAACTAGACTAATGAGAGATTATCACCTCCCCTTTTGGGAAGTCGGTCAGCCCGGTGTTTACTTTGGGCCATTTCATGTGTTGGGCCTCAAGCCGGCCTCATCAAGCTCATCCTATCAATTGTAACGAACAAGTTCAGGGAATGGAGAATTTTCACAATTAATTATGGTTGACGGAGAAAGGGGAAAAATAAGGAGCATGATGGAGTTTTCAGCTAATAATTTCATTCAACAAAACAGAAATTACAATCGAATTTTTCTAACAATGATTTTATACTAATAATAACCCAACGAATCATGACAAAATAAAAATCAGATCCCGAGTCTTAATACACAAACATCATCATCAACAACATGTTTTCTCAATTGTTGTTCACTTTTGCTACTTCTTCCATCTCCTTCCTGGGAAGACAACATTTTTCTTCTCTTCATCTTGTGGGCTTCTTTTAAGGCCGCAGCTGGAGATGAACATTCCATATTGCAACCATGAATATTAGGGATCTTGATGTTCATGGCTTCAAGGGATTCCTGGACTTTTTCCACAGGAAAATTAAGGAAAGCCAACGAACCTCGCATCAAAAACGCAGCTTGGTCGTAAGCCAAAGCAGCTTCTTCTGCAGTGTCAAATGTTCCAAGCCAAACCCTCTTCCCGTCCCTCGTTGAATCCCTTATTTCCGACGAGAATTTCCCCCATGGACGCTTCCGAACCCCGATGTAATTCTTCAATTCCTTCTCAGATGAGATATGTTCATCTGGTAAGAAGGATGAGGAGTAGGAGGATGATGGTCCGGTCATGTTGTTGGATTGGACATAGAAATGTGACAACTCACAAATCAATTGTTCTTTCTGTACAACTCGAACAACTACTAATTTTTTTAATTTGACCAAGTCATAAACTTATATACATTGACAGATACAGCTCCCCTGGATTAAATCCTTTAGTAATGTAAGAATATGTTCGATCTTGTCAGCAAGCCCAAGTTGAATTTGTTTAACATATAAGAAAATGGTGGCATCAACGCCGGCGTTATTTGTAATTTAGTATTCGTACTTTTTGTTCTCAATAATACACTGAGAGGGGGAATTTATTTAAATATATATTATACACCCTATATAAAAAATCATTACTCCAACTAATTCGGATTCAAATAATTGGATAGGTTTCTTTCTGGAAACAAATATTTTCCAACAAATATTTAATCACAGGGAAATCTTTTACCAGTAGACTTAAAGTACTCCAATCTAGAACTAAAAAAAACAAAAAAAAAAAAGAAAAAAAAGAAAAGAAACTCTTTCTGTTAAGATCGGTTATTAATGCACTTTATTTTTGTTAGATATGTAAGCTGGAAAGAAAAATGTTTTATAAAAAATTAAAACTTGGTAAATGTGAGGAAAATGAGGAATCAAGCATATTAGTGTGTATTCTTTCGGTCAGCCAACAAATTGATGAGAATTAATTTACTGTTGATTAATCTTTTGGTTGGAAAATGTTTTGTGGACCCGGACTGTTTTTGTTTCCTTGGGCTACTCTCTCCTCTAGTTATAATATAGAGCTCCTACGTACACTTTGCAAGGTGTACCTGATTTGAAATTTACGCGTCCAAAAAAAAGATAAAAAAAATTTTTTTTTTAAATTTTCAATTTCCTAATATCTCTTCTAATTTTCAGACATCATTAATTATATCCATCCAACTTCCTATTCCAATCCAAAGACGTCTCAAATTAAAAAATCTAAAAAACAAAATATCTTATGTAGCGATTTGGCATCAAAACCTCTCGTCGACGGTATTTTTTTAAGACGAAATCCGATTATGCATCAAATCCCATGAGTTTGGTTGCAATATACGCTGCTGAATATGAGAATTACGGTAAGATTTGAGATTATTTATCTGTTTTGTGTTTTGTTCGGTGAATTTTGGAAAAAATTAATAGATCTAGGTGTTGTTCATCAGTTTAATATATCTGTTTTGTGTTTTTTTCGATGGTAAAGATTTGAGATTATTCCCGTCGATTAATTTTGTTGATCGATATGTGGTTGATTTTGGAAAAGATTAATAGATCTAGGTGCGCTCATCAGTTTAATATCATTATTCATCTTTAAAATATGTTAGTTCGTCGATGTTCTAGTCTTGTTCATCGATTTGTGGTTGATTTCAGAAAATATTCATAGATCTGACATTATTCATCATCTCGATATCATTATTCATCATCAATGTGTGGTTGTTTCAGTTTTCTTCTTATGTGAAATATTTATTCATCATTCATCATCGATTAATGATGTTAGTTCATCAATTTCTTAGTTTTGTTCATCGGCCTGTGGTTGATTTTAGAAAAGATTAATAGATCTAGGCTTTATTCATCAGTTTAATATCATTATTCATCTTTAAAACATGTTAGTTCATTGATGTTCTAGTCTTGTTCATCGATTTGTGGTTGATTTTGGAAATCAGATTTTGACATCATTATATATTTCTGGTGGTTATTCATCATCAATTTTGGGTTGTTTTTCATATTTTCTTCTTCTGTGAAATGTTTATTCTCCATCTATTTCTGGTTATTCATTATTTTGGCTTGGTTATTCATTCTAATTGTGACATGATGGGGTGTCAAGCCACACAAATAAATTAACCTACTTCAAACTACTGTAATATAGGGAAATAAGGTCATCTCCTCAAGGAATGATGGATTGTTTCCTTCAAATTAATGCAAATGGGATTTTTGGATTCTTTTTGTAAACTAAGATAATGAAATCAAATAACAAAAACTAAATAAACAAAAAGAAATCGAAGTAACAGACTTCTGACTCAAGGGACGGATAACTCAATTATTTCATTAATCATAGGCTACTAAAACTACTCTTGCAATTTAAGCATTCAACCAAAGATCTATTAGGATAGCCGTAATAAATCAATTAATCTCCCTAAATTAACTAACCAAGCCTAGCACTCAATTAGTCCTTATCATAATTTGACTGGGCACGATAGCGTTCCATACCAAACAACGACAGCATAAATACCAAGGAAATATAGTTGAATCAAAATCTAAACAATTGAGATATCTGCAACTATTCAGACTTTGCCTCATTGATTCCACATTTAAACTAACATGCATATTCAATGTCTCACCAGTACATATGCTTTGTCTAATTGCTACTCAGTACCGCCGGTTCGTGTCTGTTACGTAACATTCAACTAGCAGATAGCACTAGAAAATAAATAACAAATCAAGTTGTCAATTTGAATGATATCTACTTTCATAACTCAATACAAGAATCAATAAATACTTAAATTATAGGCAAGAACAATAAATCAAGAACAAAACCTCATAATGGAATAACTGAATAAATCCCTTGAATCAGAAAGAAATTCCTTAGCCACTCATGGACGGAAACATGACGGCTTTATTCTCCATGAAAAACAATGAAAATTCGGGAAAAACAAGAGGTGAGAGGTGCTAGCCTATGGCTACACACACGGCTGCCCCTTACACAACCATGGCCAAAAAAGAAGAAGAGGCACGGCCAAACCAAAATCACGGCTGACTTATAAAGAAATTAGGTCAGCCGCACTAAACAAGAAGTTAGGCAAAAATTGCAGCATTGGTCCTTTAACTTTTCAACTTCTTCGTTTTTGTCTGAAAACTTCTTTAATTTTGCAATCAGGTGCCTAATCGTCCAAAATAGTCTAAAATAGCTCCAATCTTTTATTTCCAGCTCCTAACATGAAATAATAACAAAATCAATGAATTAAATATATCCAAGTCCATAAACTAATAAAATATCAACAATTAAAACACACTTTATGAACTCTATCATGACACAAACTACAAGTGATGTTATTCATCATGTAATATGTGATTGTACACAATTGTAAATATGTTTCATTAATCCAGTAAAATAGTGTTATTCATCATGCCAATATATCTCATTCATCGTTTGAACATGTGTTATTCATTCCGTAGATATGTACTGGCCAACCCTGTTCAGAGATGCAAGAGAATTTGTCAAAAGCTGTGACCGGTGCCAAAGGACAGGAAATATTTCCTGGAAAAACGAGATGCCACGGCAGAACGTGCTTGAAGTGGAACTATTTGATGTATGGGGGATAGACTTCATGCGTCCCTTCGTGTCATCCTTTGGGAACTCCTACATACTGCTGGCAGTGGACTACATTTCAAGATGGATAGAAGCTGTAGCTGCAAAGAACAATGATGCTAAAACTGTTCTCAGGTTTCTAAGAAAAAAATATTTTCGCCAGGTTTGGTACACCCAGGATGATACTCAGTGATGAGGGATCACATTTCTGTAACAAGTCATTTGCAGCCATGGTAAAGAAATATGGAATCAGGCACAAAGTATCAACACCATACCATCCACAATCAAACGGGCTAGCAGAAGTGTCAAACAGGGAAGTGAAAAGAATCCTGGAAAAGGTTGTTAATTCTACCAGGGAAGAATTGGTCTTCAAGGCTGGATGAAGTTTTACGGGCATATAGGACAGCATACAAGACTCCCATTGGTATGTCCCCGTTCAAACTGGTCTATGGGAAAGCATGCCACTTGCCAGTAGAATTGGAACGTAAAGCTTACTGAGCTATCAAGGAACTGAATCTTGATCCGGGCAAAAGCAAGGAATTGAGATTGATTCAGTTGAATGAATTGGAAGAATTCAGACTAGAGGCATACGAATCTCCAGAGTCTACAAAGAGAAAACTAAGGGTTACCATGATCAACACATTGTCAAGAAGAACTTCCAAGAAAGACAAGAGGTCTTGTTGTACAATTCGAGGCTGAAATTCTTTCCAGGGAAGTTGAAGTCAAGATGGACCGGGCCCTACAAAATCAACAAGATCCTAACTCAGGCAGCAGTGGAGATCATGAATCCACAAAGTGGCAACACCTTTTTGGTTAATGGTCAGAGGCTTAAACCATAACTTGGATGGACAGAAGGGAGTAAAGGACAGAACTATCAAGTTCTGGTCCTGAAGGAACTTGACTGAAATTTCTTTTGAAGTCTGGCATGAGACTTAAAACCAATGCGCTTTATGGGAGGCAACCCATACGTTTTGCTTTTATATGGCTAACAATGTGCTACTCTAATTTTTGCAGGATTGGACAAGGAATTTGCCACCCCAACAGATTTCAGAAGGTGTAACATAAAAGGCATCAGGTAAAACTCACTCCCAGGAGTGAAGAAAGTCACTCAGCTGAGTGAACCTACGGGAAGGTAATTCTTTGAGTTTTCTAACCCTGACGTCACTCACGCAAGTGGAACAATCCACTCGCCTGAGTAAGAACAACTGTACGACACTTTCTGCAAAAAGTCACCTTTTTGGGCTGTAATTATGGTTTAAATTTGGGGAGAAATTTTTCCGGAAAATTTCAAATTTCAATTTTAACCACATCCGTCTTTTTGAGTCACTTGAGTCAGCCACGATTTCCAAAAACTTTAACTGCTGTGCATTAACTCACAACTCCTCCATTGCTTCGTCTTCTTCATTTTCTTCTTAATTCCAGAATCACTTCTTCAACCACCACTTCCCTGTGTGAACATACGGACAATTTCTCTGAGTCTCCAGGCAACTAAGGCAATTTTCAGATTCAATCACAAAACCCCTCTTTCAATTTCCGACACAACTCTTAGGGTTTGTAAAAGATGCCGCCGGCAAGGAGGAAGGCTGCTGCCCGCAAAAATGCCTCCAACACAAGGAGAAGGATATCATCCTCCTCATCCTCGCCCTCTCCTGAACGGCAAAGAACGCCCACTCCACCATCATCCCCTGCCAGAGAACCTACCCCACCGCCACCTCCACAACCACCAAGGGCGTTGCAAGAACAAGCCCTCAATGCCATCACAGATGAATGGGAGCCCAGGTTTTTTCCAAGGAAGAAGGGTTGGGATTTCTTTTTGAAGCACATAAGGCGAAAATTCATTACAG